GGTAAGTGTGTAGGGAAGCAGACAACCCTCCAGCGGAGCAGCAAGTTTTGAAACGGCCGTCAGTAGCTTGTTGCTTGACCCATTAAGCCAACAGGGTTCTTCAACTTCAACACAAGCAGCTCAAAGAAAGAACTGTATACAACAACTTGCTACACCAAATTATCAACTCACATCTTCATCCGGGCAATACAGTAAGTGAGTGCATTCTGAATTCCCATTTTCTATATGCTTTGGGATTAAACAAATACATCTTGTCTGTCCTGACCAATCGGGAGTCCTGGTGGCAGCCTGCTGGAGTGCTGGGATGCTAATAGCCACAAGATCCTAACTTTACCTCGAGCTGCTCTGCAGGAGATGGGACGAGGCTTTCTGCTCCTGTAAGTGTTTATAACCGAGGAAAACTATGGGACATTTCGACTTTGTCCTTTAGGTCACTGTGAGCTGAACTGACTCAGCAGCAAGGGGTTTGGATGGCCAGATGAAGTGAAGACACTGCCTATAATTCCATCACTGTCCAGCAAAATAGCAAAGACCAACGCAAACATCACCACTCATCTGTCAGTCTGTCACACTGTGGTGGCTCATTATATGGCTGGGATGCTGGGAGCTGCATCACCGGTATCTCAAACGCAAGCAGGGTCACAACTGGACAAGTTTCAGCAGAGCTTCCAGGTGAAAATCACACCACAAAGAAGAAACCAGCTGCCCACTTTAGAGGAAGCAGCTGCTGAGAGTCTTAAGCACAGGATGGAAACACTGTCGGCTACAGAAGGGCTAATGTAAACAAGTCCACGAGAACCAAAACACGACCTTGAGTCTATCCCCCGGATTCTGAGACCATCTCAAGAACAAACCTGACACACGGGACACTGAGGACGGAAGATCTGATGAGTGGAAGGACATCAAGAGTAACACTCATGAAGAAAGCAAAAGGTCATTAAAAGTTGTTTTTTTTTTAATGTGGATGTCAGAAGAGACCAAAATTTGCTTTTAATTATATAGTAGCTAAGGCAAATGAAAGAAACTGTGAAATCAAACAGAACATTTCAAAGGGCCGCTCAAGAAGACAGAGCCAGACATTATAATGCAATGTGCAAAGACCTAGAATTAGACAACCAAAAGGGAAGAACGTGCTCAGTGCATCTGAACTGAAGGAAAGCACTCAAGAAACACTTCAAGCATCAAGTGGAAATATCGCAAGATTCTACGTGCACAATATCGAATGACGCAGGAAGCATCAAGAGAAAATGGAAAGAATGCTCAGTCGCTCTACCAAAAAGAACTGGCTGACGGTCCAGCATGGAGGAGGTAACATATAAGAAGCAACAGTGCTGAAGGAAGAAGTTCAAACGGCACTGAATGCATCAGTCAAAAATAAGGCTCCAGGATGGACAGGGTGCCAACGGAAATGTTTCAAAAGGCTGAAGGAGTACTAGACGCAATCTATGCCAGGAAACTTAGAAGGCAGCAGCTACCTGGCCCAACGGACTGGAAGAGATCCATATTTGTACTGATTCCAAAAAAGGTTTGCGGTGCTCAAATTAAAGAGCAATATCATTGATATGGCATGCAAGTAAAATATTGCTGAAGATCATCTGACAATGGTTGCAGGGAGCTGCCAGAGGTTCAGGCGAGATACAAAAGAAATCACTAAACAATGGACATCATAGATGATGTCAGATGGATCTTGGCTGAAAGAGAATACCAGATAGATATCTACTTGTTTTTATTGACTATGCCATGCCAGGTGACCATGTGGGTCATCACAAACTATGGATAGACTTGAGAAGAACGGGAATTCTGGAACCCTTCGTTGTGCTCCTCTGGAACTTGCACGTGGATCAAGAGGCAGTGGTGGGAAACAACAACAGAATACTACATGGTTTACAATTGGGGAAGGTGTGCCACGGGGTTGCATCCTCTCACCATACTTATCCAATCTGAAACTGGATTATACGAAGAATAATAGCATCAGGATTGGAGGAAGGCTGACTAAGAAGCTGAGATAGGCAGAGGACAAAAATCTTGCTTGCTTAAAGTGAGGAGGACTTAAAGCACTTGTTGATGAAAATAAAGGATTGTAGCCTTCAGTAGGAATTACAATTCTCTGTAAAGAAGACCAAAATCCTCATAGCTGGACCAACAGGGAACTTCATTATAAACGGAGAAAAGATTTTAGTTGTCAAGGATTTCATCTTGCTTGGATCCACAATCAATGCTCACGGAAGCAGCAGTCAAGATACCAAAAGACGTGTTGCACTGGGTGGGTATATCTGCTGCACAAGACCTCTTTAGTGTAAAAGCAAAGATGTTCCTTAGAGAATTAAAGTGTGCCTGACCCAACACACGGTATTTTGACTTGCCTCATAAGCCTGTGAAAGTTGGACATTGAATAAAGAAGACAAAACAAGAACTGATGTTTGAATGGTGGTGTTGGCGCAGAATAACGGAAGCACCATGGACTGCGACAAGGACACCAGTCTGTCTTGGAAGAAGGACAGCCAGAGTGCTCCTGAGAGGCAAGGCCGGCAAGACTTCGTCTCACACACTCTGGACATACTGTCAGGAGAGGCCAGTCCCTCGAGAAGGACATCAGTCATCCTTGGGTAAAGTAGAGGGGCAGCTAAAGAAAGGATGACCCTCAGTGAGGTGGACGGGCAGAGTGGCTGCAGCTGGAGCATGGGGGCGCCGTGAAGACAGCGCGGTGCCAGGCCGGGTTTAGTTCTGTTGCGCACATTGTCGCCTTGGGTTGGCACCTAGGAACAACTTTCCCCAAAGCATCCGCAGCCCCTCGAAGTACAGGTCTGGATCGAAGCCTCTAATGTGGCAAACACAGGATTTCAGAAAAGCATTTTCTTTAGAAGGACAAGAGAATTTTTTTTTAACTCCAATATACCACCCAACTTCAGAGTATTCTAATGAATAAATAGAACATAACCACGCTAGCTTTATCCTTACTAACAGTCCCCACTCAAAACTCACTGCCATCAAATAGTGACCTTGTGAGATAGGTAGAACTGTCCTTGTTGGTCTCTGAGACTGGAATCTGTGCAGGAGTAGAAAGCCTCATCTTTCCCCCACAGGACGGCTGGTGGTTTCGAACTGCAGCTCAATGTTCCACAACCCATTCTGCCACCAACACTCCTCATTAACAATACAGTACAAGGCTAACATGCACACATCTACACACCAGAAGTAGTTATCTTCCTGCTTTATATTATATTAATCTACGGAATTATTTTCCTCACTCAATAGACCCATTAACTCATGTGAGTAAATAAAGCATCTTAAAAACAAGCAAATATATTTTCATCAATCTCCTATTATTTTCTCATAGTACAGAAAATAATCATTTAACAATATTTGTATTTAAATGTTTATACATTGTACAATCAATAAAAATACTGAGTATCCTTTATAACCTAACTGGCTAATGATTCTTACGGTTGATTTTTTGCTTTTACTCATATTGTACATTACAGAGATGTATAAGTCAGGCCAGAAAAGGCAGTTTACCCAATTCATGTATTTGACACTATTTGTAAGAATCCACCTGAAAGAAGTGGTCTGTTTGTTGATGGTTGGGTTTTTTGGTTTATAAGGTGGTATACTTATATTCCGGCCCTCACCAACTCACCCCCACAAAGCGGCAGAGCAAGGCCTCAGATCCATTCTGACTCAAGTATTTGTACAGAACATTATTTCTTATGTCTAAAACAATGAACTGCTTTTTCAAACTAGTGCCAAACTTTTCCCAAAAGAATAAATGTATTTTTAAAATCATTTTATTGGGGGCTCGTACAACTCTTATCACAATCTATGCATACATCCCTTGTGTCAAGCACATTTGTACATTTGTTGCTATCAACATTCACAAAACATTTGCTTTCTACTTGAGCCCTTGATATCAGCTCATTTTTCTCCCTCCCCGCTCCTTGCTCCCTTGTGAATCCTTGATAATTTATAAATTATTATTATTTTGTGCTATCTTACACTGTCCGATGGCTCCCTTCACCCACTTCCCTGTTGTCCGTCCCCCAGGGAGGAGGTTATATGTAGATCCTTGCAATAGTTTCCCGAATAAATGCATTTTGTAAAGGGTGGCTTATTAATTTATTGTTCCACGGGTGGGGGGCGGGGGACGTAACTGATTTAATGTTCTAATATTCAAAGCAGTGGTTGGATGGAAACCAGCTGGTTCCATTGAGAACACGTGTAGGCCTGGGGCAGCCTGGAAGATGGCTAATCATTGGACCGGACTCTTTACCTTGTAGGAACAGGGACCTCAGTCAACCCTGAGAGGAGGACAGCAGGTGCCAGTCTCACAAACGCAATTATAGGTCTTTCCAAAAAGTCTACTTCTCCCACCAGAACATTGGATGCCTCTGCTCCCGTGGGAATTTTTCTCATGAAATTCATGTCCACCTATTGACAAATAAATAATCCGTTTAAATATTTTGTGGTATTTACATGATGACTTAGAAGGACATAAGACAGAAAAACGCTTCCAGGAATATTTGCTAACCAAGGATTTGTGATTTTAGGTATGTGTACATACCACGATTTTTTTTTTTTAAACATTTTATTAGGGGCTCATACAACTGTTATCGCAATCCATACACACATCAATTGTGTAAAGCGCATTTGTATATCATTCTCAAAACATTTTCTCTCCACTTAAACCCCCGACATTAGGTCCTCATTTTTCCCCTCCCTCCCCGCTCCCCCCACATACCACGATTTTCACAAGTAAAAAGAATGGGGACAGACAAATACAAAAATGCAAACAAAACATGCCCATTGAGTGATATTTTCAACTCTTTTAACTCTGTCGGTATTTACTACTTTAGACATCTAAATTATCAAATAGAAGCTAGAAAAAATTTCAAAGAATATAGCACTATTCATTAAAAACTACTAAAGACAAATGTAGTCACAAACTAACAAGGTTTCATGAAATTATACACAGTGCTAAAAATTAATCATTTCAAATCATCTTCATGTTAAATTGTAAAGATACATTAGTCTCTTTGCATTTTATGTACTTTTATAAAGCCCCTTTTAAAGAGAATTCCAGGAAATGTCCAGTAATATTTCTTAAGGAAAACACATCCTTTTTAATTCAAACTGTAAAAAGGAAAAGAAAAAGAAAAAAATCAATAGAACTTCTTCATTAAGCCCTAATCGTAAAATTTAGTTGTCTGTGTATAATTACAAAGAGGAGGTTACAACATGATGCCAAAGTATGGGAGTTTCTTCATTGATATGCAACGTCACACAAGTCACTAAACAACCACTGACAGGGCTAGCTACTTTAAAGAAAACCAGCACTTACAGCGGGCCTCTTGAGTCCCACACCCAGTGTGCCACAACTACAGTGCCAGGAGGCAGACTCCTGCCCAACAGGAGACAAGGAGGCGGACACAAGAACAGGCCAAGTAAAAAAGCAAAACTGTGACAGAGGAACAAAAATAAACGGCAACTGCCATGTCTAAAGGTGTGCTATCATGCAAATCACACTAATTTATTCATCAACAAAATTAAATTGCAACTTAGTTATTAAATACTTCTAACTCATCTGAAATCATCAGAGCACCATGTTATCATGGCAGAATGCAATGTACAACAGCCAGAGGGAATGATCGGTAGAATCTCTGTAACTACGGAATATACAGCTCAAGGCACCACTTAAACTCCCATCTATAAAATGTAACTTAAGAACCGTGCATGACAGAATTACAGATTTAAGAAAACCAAATCAAGTTGGCCTGGGTTTCTTCTTGACCCCCTATGCCTAAATACTCAGCTCCCAAAATAAAATCTCACAGTGGAGATAGCTATTGTGTTTCATTAAGTCCGTGCCTTTACCTACACATGGGGGAACACCGATACGTTTCCCAGTGACATTCCAGAAAGTACTGACACCACAAGACAGTAATTCTGGGATGGAATTACAGCCCAGGGAGGGCCGAATTGCAGAGCTGTAACATCATTCCCAGAATTAACCTTTCTAGTGGTCATAGTTCCAGAACAAATCACTGTGGTTAAAAAGGTACTGAAGTCTCACGATATCTATGGGTAGGTAAAGATGGAAACGTCGCATTACCTACATGTATTTGCCAGAATGTCTAAGAGTAGTAAGCATGCAAAATTATTTGCATGCTATGAGGTCACATTTTCTGAACTCAAGTAGACATTGTCGGCACATTTCAGTAAGGTTTGAAAACACCAGCCTACCCTTTTGAAAAGTATTAAAAATAACCAATGTCAACAAAACCACACAGTGTTGTTTTCTGAGTGACTACAAAAATGTCTATAGTTGATGATGGAATTACCTTGCTGAAGTCAACAGTACTATTTTCTCTGCTTCCTCCAGTTCCATTACCTTTAATTTCCCCACTTTTATTATTGTCCAAGTTTCCGGGTGCAGACTGTGGAGAAGCCAAAATACCTACATTTAAGAATAAAACTCAAGTTAGTAAAGAGAAACTGCGCTTTGTTACTTGACTCTGCTCATATCCTGCAAGTGATCATTTAAAAGCAAATGTGCAAGGTTGGAGGAAAAAAAAAGTGGCAGGTGTTAGTATCATACCAGCAAAATTAGAATACAACTCTATAATAAAGCACTACATTTTAATATTTAAAATAATCCAACAGGAATTGACAAACATGGTGGCCTTCGGCAGTAAGAAAAAAGTGAGTGGGTGAAAACCACAGGAAATGGGAGAAAGAGCTACTAAGTCTGATTACCAATCCAATGGGAATACAGACTTCCAACATTGCTAACACACACGTGAAATGCAGAGCGCGGAAGAGCATAATGAGCCTAAATGCACTTAGCATGCGTACACCTACACCAACACAGACTCTGGCACTGTCTACGTGTAACTCAGGAAACAGAAAGGCAACCTCCATTCTGTATTATCGTCTGTATTCCTAAATTACTTCGGCAATTTTCATTTGTCTTGGGTAGCTACTAGGCTCCTTACTATCAGTACTGCTTTTAATATTAAAGGAAATGTTTTTCCGAGATTAAGAGCATAATATGGGTTTCATAACCAAATACATCTGTTGAAATACCAACCAACAGATGTAACTAACAAGGTGACCTTAAGTAGCATCACCCAACCTGTAAGACTGAGTCATAGCTATCACATAAATTTCCTGGGTTTAGAAATGATAAATATCTGTGCTTAATTATTGGTATAATCATCACTACTATCTAGTAACCCAAATAAATTCACCTAAACTTTGTTTGGAGACTAGACCCTACTATCGCTACGTTAAGATCTCTAGGCAGGCAGGTTATAAAGTTTTAAGTATATCAGACACATAGGATGGATGGAAGAAAAAGTTTTAATTTTTTCTTTTTAAAACTAGAACATTTCATAACTAATGAAAACTGAAAAGCATCGCTTGGGTTTATAGTTAACTATTGAATGGAAGAAGACTTTGAGACAGTCACTTCTCAAACAGTCAGAGTAAGCCACAGTCACTGTGACGCCACACTGTTACATAGCATATGAAATGTGCTCGCTCTGGGAAAAGTTGAAAAATTGAGAAATAAACACTTTCTTACCTAAAATTTAACTCATTTCTAATAATTTTAACAATTCGCTTAGCAACAGAAAAGTTCTCTTACTTGATCTTGGTCCCTAAACTTCCAATACGGAGTCTCTTCCTTTGTTAGCAAGAAGTGGGCGGGTATTTTATGAGCCAGAAGTTTATAGTGACTTGCACCTAATTCTACTCAAATGCACAAAGGAAATGACGAGCCTCAGTAAGGACCTAGTGGCCAATGGCAACTGAGCATCAAACGCACACTTCTAACTACCAAAAAAATGCATCTAACCTGTAGATAATTCATTCAATCAAAAGAATACATACTATATAGTTTTCCAGAAAAGTACCAACCACTTGATTTTAGGAAGAGCAGTGTTACAACAGAATGAGAAGGCTGTAGGGAAAGACGTGATGAGAAAAAAGAAATCACATGGAACAGAAGACTGACCAACTAGATGATATTACCTACAGTCCCATTTTCAAAATTAGCACATCAGGGACGTGCCAGAATCTTCCATTATTACCCTCTCTGTATAAACCTCCCTGCCCTCAGTGAAGCTACAGTGTTTTCTCCACCAAGAAAGCAAGGCATTCTGCTCTTGGAATAAATTCCTGGAACTTAGGAATTAAGTGAGTAAACTACTAATTAAAATGAGTAAAGTACAAATAATGCTAATATGCTATCATTATCATAGATGTCAAACAGGATAACATTTCTGTATTCTAAGAAAAACACTGGTGCATGGAGGGGGCTGGGGGGACATCTATGAGACCACACAGGCAATGTTAACCCTCAAGCAGCTAGCAGGGGAGAGGGGAACAAATCAAGAGTCATGGAAATGGAGCAACCAGATGGGAGTGGCAGAAATGTTCACACCACATGGAAAATCTAACCAGTGTCAATAAATAATATGTACAGAAAGTATTAAACAGGAACTTAATTTGGTAAAACTTTCACCAAATTTCCAGTATTGAAAACAAAACAAAACAAAAAAAAATGAATGCTTTGTACGTATTAAATGTGTTTTTTTTAAGTACTCTGGCAGATAAATACAAAAATATGAATGTTTTCTATTTCAAATGTTAAAAGTTTGAAAGGAGTACTTAGAGGCGTTTTCTTTTTTTTTTTTAAGTCATTTTATTGGGGGCTCAAACAACTCTTATGGCAAATGTACAAATGTGCTGGATGGATGGATGGAAGGAAGGATGGATGGAAGGATGGATGGATGGAAGGATGGATGGATGGAAGGATGGATGGATGGAATGCGATGAGGCGTGGTTTGCAACCAGAAGTAATCCTGCCCCCAAAGGTGTCTGGTAATGTCTAGCAAACTTTTGGGTTATCACAAATGGAGTGTCTACTACCAGCTCATGAGTAGAGACCAGAGACTGTTAAAACAGCGGACAATGCACAGCAGCTCTTCACAACAACAAAAATGACCTAGCCCAAAATGTAAATAGTGCTCAGATTCATGGACTTAAAAGAAAAGCCTACCTCTTTGTACATAATTCTCTCATAGAAAAACGGATGGGAAATGCTGCTTTCTCTTTTGTTATACATCTGTACAAGTCATGACCCCAAGACACTGCAGACTCTCCACACTGAGGCTGAGGCCCGACTTCTCCTCTAACAGACCCTTAGACGGCAAGGAAGCTCAATGGAAGCTTCTCGGTGCCATAACCACTCAAGATAATTAAAAAGATAACAGAAGACTGCCCCTATTTTTATTTAGTAATTACAAAACTTCAACAGATGTCACCATGAATAGTAATTAGGAGCTTTTCTTGGCTTTAGAAATTCCATCTCCCTTCCTATTTAATTTCTTTTCTTCAAAAAGGCTGATAAATCTCGTGACATACTTTACTGTGGTCCCTAATTCTCAGTTAAATGCCTATTATCTCCTGAACATCCTGGCTTGCAAACTCATAGGAATCCATAAGCCAAATTCTTGTTCTCTAAAATTCATACTTTTCCTACTAATAACCCCATTGACATTGAGTTGATCCTGAACAGAGTTCCTGAGGCTGTAAATCCCCTGAGCAGACAGTTTTCCTCAACTTTCTCTAGAGGAGCAGCTAGTGAATTTGAACTGCCAACCCTGCCGTTAGCAGCCCAACATCTATCCCACGATACCATTAAGGCTCCTCTTTCATATCAAAAGCACAGACAAAAGAAGAAACGTTCAGGGTTGCTAACCAACACAATACAGGTAAAAACAAGACAAGTAACTTTACAATCACTTTTGTTCAACGAAAAAGGATGAGTCTTCTTAATTATTAAAGTTAAGCGTGCTGATTACTTCTAAATAATTATTTCTGAGTGTTTTTACCTTTTATTCAATCACTCTCATTATTTCCTATTTTTTTGTGAAGCAGTCAAGTTCACGGTGAAATACTTTACATTTTGTTGTAGGGTAGGTTTGAGGCTACACCCCTGTTGATCACTTAAGAGTGTGATATAGCACCTCTTTGCAGCCTTGGTTCTCTTCATGCATACAGAAAGAATATCACCAACTTCACTGCATTGTTGTAAGAATTAGAAACATGGTATGTTGAAAGTTTATATCACCGGCACAAAAAACAATGGTAACTATAACTATGATCATAATTAATGTCACAAAGTTTTTGCCACAAGATTTCCATGGATACTTCTTTAAAGCATCTTTTTTTTTTTTTTTGGCAAATTGAATAAGCCTTGATTAAATAAATATTGTCAGACGATTTCAACTGTCAATTACTAATTTCCTGAAACTAACTTTTTACTCTATTTATGGAAAATCTCAGCTTCTAAAAATGGGTATATTCACACCTAACTTTCTCAAATTTTCAAAAATATTAAATACTCTAATAACTGTAAAGTACCAACAAAGTACTGGATATAATTATTTTTAAAATCACTAGTTAGCATTAATATGTCATTAATATTACAAATAAATAAAATTTTTCCTGCATGACGCCAGTGGGACAATATAAAAGCATAAATGTAGATAGGATTAACATTTTTAATCATCATAATTTATAGCCCTTAAATGAATTATGACTTTTATTCTGAGTAATTTTCCTAATTTACAAACAAAAAATCAAAAGTATGTCCTAACCATAACTATAGGTGCTCTTTTCCTAAAAATCAGGAGGTAATTTTGGATTAAAAAAAGGTACAGCTATAAATAAAAAATAACTAACCTCTACCCCAAAATATAAAACTAGTCTTAAAAACTCATGGTTACAAACAATCACGAGAGCCTCAACCTTCTTGAAAGCAAAATGTGAAAAAGAACACTTAATCCTGTCTTTGCTAAGAAACAAAATAACAAAATACACTGCCAGTGACTCAACTCAACCCATAGTGAGCAGAATGAGGACAGAGTCGAACTGCGAATCTCTATGGGCAGCCAGCTTCACGTTCCTCCACAGAGCACCTAAGAAAACTAAAAGGAACTTCCATCTCTGGAGAGCAGGTGAGAGGCGTACCACAACCTTATTATAACTTACATATATAACATGTGCCTATTTACTTTATGAATGAGCTGCACAAAGACACCATTTTAAAAAATCATGGCAAATCACACAATTACAAAACGTTCTTGTAAACCATTCAAATACCCTAACATCAAAAATCTCACTTAAAAAAAAAAGAAAAAGGGGGCTTAAATTATGTGTAGTATTTTTATAACCGAAAATTTTAAATCATTCTACTATTCTCTATGTCACACTAGAAGGAAAACAACATGCAGAAGTCAAAATAAATGGTAAAAAGCATGAACTACGTATGCTGCTCAAGCTATGTGCTGAAAGGCATTCCAAGTGCACGTGACTCAGAGGCAGAAAGCACCACACATGGAGAGTTTGGGATAGTTGCCTGCAGTTATGTCAATATTTTCCTCATTCTTCTGCTCCTGGCCTTTCAGTGCTTCTAGGTCTTCCTCAGGCGGATGAATTACTACTGTGGGAATATCATCACTGGCGGGTGAAACCAGCAGTTCTGGGGTCTGAGGCTGACTCTGTTGGGAGCCTCTGGAGTTCAGACGTCTGAAGCTAGGGCTGGAAGGAGGACTGTTTTGAGGGGTGGGCACGGGGGTGGTAGACCGTGAGCCTGCAGGGGTCCCAGCTCTTGAGGCAGGAAGAAGATGACTGAGAAGAAGAGATAAAGGCGATTCTCCTCTCAATGAAAGGCTTGAAGCAGACAGACCTGTTCGCAAAGAGTGGCGGGAGGCTGAAAGGCCTTCCCCTGAGATAAAACAAATGAAAAAATGATGAAGTTCACTGCAGAAGGCAAATAGACACACAAGATCAATGTACATGGTCAGCTGCATGCTTTGTAGGCCAAAAATTCCAAATTCGTGCTGTGCAGGTTAGCACGGAAATCACATTTAAAAAAAAAATGTTAGCAAATCACAGAAGTGGATTTAACTGTCATTAGTTCCCTGAAGCTATATCAAAAAGTAAAAGTGTTAATGATAGATTGGGAGGGGGAGGCAAAATTATGTTAGAAATCAGAATAACCAATATCACGGCTTTATGAAAAGGATAACATCAACGCAAAGTTGTCGCTACTTAAATAAGTGGCGAATGAGAACATAAAAAGAAAAATAATATAGTAAGTAGAGCTCACACTGAAACTTTCCAGCAACAACAGCCTATAGGCAGCACATTTTTTCCCCTACAGTGTACCAAACAGCTATAGATCATTATCTCTCACAAGAAAAGTCTACATCCACATGACCTAATAGTTTCTAATCTAAAAAAATTTAACCAAATATTCATGACATCAGTCAACAGAACACCACCTACCGGCGATCCTTTCAAGTAAAGTTAAATGACAGGACAAGTCAGACTTACTTTCCCTCTTTAAGAAAAAAAATGTCTGTTTTAGAGGACACAAATTTTTCCATCTCGAAGCATAAGTTTAACCAAATGCATATAGCATTTAATTTAACGGTATAAGAATAAAGGATTTATCATCAGCAATAAGGAAATCCAGAAGATTGAAAGAGTGCACACGTAGGGATAGTCAAAACACCTGGTGTTGTGTAGTCAACTAGCATGCTGTTTTTATGGAAACAATGAGAAACTACAAAAATCAACCCAATGGGGTCAAATTCTAAGTAATCAGAGCTCCATGCTCTAATCCATAAAAGCAACCACCATTTAGGATTTTTTTTTTAAAAAAAAACACGAGCTATGTGCAGAAAGACAGACAGATAAGAGGCAACTTTGTGAGTGGTGCTCCCAAGACAGCTTTGACTCAGAACCGCCCGACAGAGCAGAGAACTGCCCGTGGGGTTTCCAGGGAATAATCTTTGCTGGAGCAGATCAAGGTTTTTTCTCTGGCAAAATGGCTGGTAAGTCCAGACCACCAACCTGTTGGTTAGCAGCTGCATGCTTAACCACTATACCAGGAGGGGTCCTTAAATTATAACTGTACCCTTAACACCAAAATAACAGAATGCCTGTGCTAAAATGGCATTTAAGAGAAATTAGTCATTGTCTTGAGACTCAAAGGAACCAAATTACCACTAGGGAAGGATCAGGGATCACTGTACATGAGTAATAAAATTTAACAAGGTCTGTCTGGATTAATGAATTCATGTCACTAATGTAGAGCATACATAATAAGATAACATATTAAAAGAGAGGTAAAATATAGTAACATATTTGGCTAGTGTTTAAATTGAACTTAGTTAAATCTATCAAGGCAGAATTTTAAACCGATTACAAAGTTTTTCAATGATCAAATGCTCAAAAGAAAATGGACCTAAGTACCTTACAATGAGTTGCAAAAGATTTATACACAATAATAAAATGTGCTAGCTCTAGCTATATTAAACCCTATGGCCTAGGGCTATTTACTTGCAGTACACTCAAAATCCATACTCATCTTTCAGGAACACAAAAAGTAAATAGAAAGGCTTTGTGGCCCATATGCTACCCCTCCATCTTTACAGTACCACAGGATGCTTAGATAGTGGCAGAGGCAACCCATACAAGCTATTCCAATACACCGTGTGCCTGGCTTTTGAAGATTCTCTGACAGCCAAAAATCAAGGCCTAAGTGATATAGTCCTCTGCTTGAGAAAGAGGAAAACAAAGGCAAAACTTCCAAGGTGCCAACAACTGTAAGAACAGTTGATAAATGGCTACAAAACCAATGTCTTCCCATGCCCCACTTAACCCCCCCTACCCTCTGAATGAGTGGAAGCGAGAATGTGGACTTGAGTCTGAGCCATTTTCAATTAGCCAATGGAAGACCACCTAGGTCACTATATCACCTATAGTGAGTGTAACAAAACTTGTCTAAATTCTCTATCATGAATAAAAGGCAACCTAAAAACTCATGTTCAACAAAATACATTCAGGAGATGAAATCAACATAAAAAAATCAATTCATGGATGGAGTTTCAAACCCAGCATAAATATATATATACATATAACTACATTTAAGACCATAAATTATACCTATTGACTCAACAATACCTAAAAAATCTTGAATGGAAACAAATAAGAAGGAATGAGATAGAATCCTGGGTGAAGTACATAACTGACAGAATAAAATATTACAAAGACTTTAATAAAAAATTTGTGTCATTTTAACAGAATGAATGCTTTCTAAAAATAATCTCAACAAATAAATTTATGTGACAGAGAAAGATATCTGGGAAATGCTTATTTTTAAAGGCATAAATCATATTTTTAAAGTAAGATTGTACAATGACCTACATAATTTCCTGGTACTAATGTTTCCTTCCTCAAATGTTAATTGCAACCAACTAGAAATGCTGTTAAGAGTGGAAGTGTTAGCAAAAATTGGACACCACAACTTATCTCACCATTCCTTTCAAGTAAATGAGGGTCAGAATGTTTCTTGCCTATATCTGCAAAAGATCGAACCAGGGGAATTCGACTGGCAAATTTTTTCTCATTCTGGTGATGATGTCTCTTCAGAAGAGCTTCTCTGACATTCTCTCTTATGGATCCATCCAATTGGCCAGACGCTATCATGTTGTCCAATACCATATCTACCCAAAGGGGGAAAAAGAAGTTACTATTACAGAAATCAACACTCAAAGGCTGTTATACAGAACAAATGTACATAAAACCTCATTCCAAAAGTTAGATCCATAAACAGCTCCAAAATTTGTCCTAGTAAATGACTGTCTGGACTCTCATTCATTTAATTATTAAATTTTTACTGAGTGTTCTCTACATGCTAATACAGCAGTTAACAAAGAGGATCAAGTTTCTTCCCTCACGCTTCCAGAGGTACTAAAACCAAGAAACAAGATGGATAAATCAGGTGTACGATGTGGAGAGACTGATATCACTGACGTTTTACACATCACTGTGGTGTATGGATTACTCTTACTTTAGAAGACAGGTCGAAATAATCCTAAACATTTACATTAACTTGAGATAAAAATTCAAGCATCCAAGACTATGATCAGATTACTCTGAAAGAAAATAAGGGAGATCAATCTAGCAGGTGAACAAATACACAATGCGTACCATGCAAATGAGTGCCAGATTACACAGCATTTACTGAAAGCACCAGTGTGCGATCATCGTAGAGCTCAAGACTCAATGTCCAAATTCAATACTCTGAGCCTAATTCAATTGTCCAGTGACTCACATAAGACAAGAAAGTAAAGCCTCTGAAAGTGTAACGATCGCAGCACATAAATCAACTGCTATTATCAAAGGATTTGTAGTCGTAGAAATTCTAATAAGTTTATGTCTCTTAAAGATCAAATACTAGAGTGAGCTTGTTTGTGATTTGTTCCCTGGGTGTAATCTATAGTGTTAGACACACTATCAAATCCATTGCCAGTGAATTTAATATCGTATCTGTATATGTCCACTTTTTACTTCCACAACCAGTTGCCATTGAGCCATTGACTCATGGCAACCTCACGTAATTCGTGGTGGAACTGTGCTGTCCTAGGGTTTTCACTGATGATGCTTCAGTAGCAGATCACCAGGCCTTACTTCCACGGCCCTCGGTGGAATGAACTGCCAACCTTCTTGGTTAGCCACGTGCTTTAACTACTGCACCATCCAGGGACTTTCTAGCTCCACCAAACCAAACCAAGCCCAGCCAAACCCACTGCCAGTGAGCCGGCTCCTACTCCCAGCACCCCTGTCCGACACAGTAGAAAGAACTGTCCCACAGAGGCTCCGAGACCGTAATCACTGCAGGAGCCGATCTTCAGGTCTTTTCTCTCTCAGAGCAGCTGGCGGGTTCAGGATGCCAACCTCTTCAGTTAGGAAATGAGCGCTTCACCACTGTGTCACCAGGGCTCCTTCCGCCAGTCTCCTTCAAGCCTTATCTCCCATCAAGTCCACTGCCACTCCCTCCCAAGGTTCATGATGCCATCATTTCTTGCTCAGACTATTCCAAGAAATTAACTGGCCTCCTTGCATCGAACCTACTTTTAATTCAAAGCTGCTGGACTGATCCAACTTTGAATCCACGATGACAATCAAAATACCTACCTAATAAAATCCAAGTACTTAGTCAAGTTTTTCTAAGATAGTTATACTCTCCCACTAAGCTATTTTCCCAAATGCTTCCTACTAATACTATTCAAGAAGCCTTTGTACTCATGCACTTTTCTTCTTGGTCTTCCTCTTCCTTGGGAGACTTTGTCCCCCGCACTGCCTGATCCTTGTTCCCATGGAGTCAACATCCTACGAAGAAGCTGTACAGTTAGTGTCGGTGATGAGTCTTCCCTAGACATTTTGGGTCAAAACATAAGGGGAAGAGGGGACTCTTTCCTCGAAAATTCTAGAGGCTATCCTCACCTTACTTGTGACTAGTCACTTTCTTCTTGATAAAATTGCTAGGCCTAAGTCTTCCAGACTCCAAGCACATAAATGCCAAAAAAGTATACCTTCCTTGTGTGTGCCCATTTCTCAGACTACTCTGCACAGATGAGAAGTCCAACAGATAGTTTTCAAATGAATGTCCTAAGATATTACTTGATTCTTCTCCATACTTAACTGTTTCTAATTCTGTTTAAAATGGATAAAATAAACTTGGTTAGGACCTGCTATTTCATCTAGAGTGCTTGCTCTCATATCCAGCATGACGGTGCCATTTAAGATGCAGCTCCTTAATTCAAAAAGACTGTGCAAAGAGAGGGTTGCCACATAAGGTTTGCTCCATCGGTCACCTCCATCTTCAACATCCTCTTCAAATTTCAGCCACCTAATAAAAGGCACAATACATAGAAATGAGTTTTAAAATAATAGTGCATTTGTTTACTTTCAGTAAAGTAAGGGCAAACTTGTTCTTTTAAAGGGAAAGATAACCAACACCCCAACAAAATGTGGGTACAAACATACTTTTGCTAACTAGGGCACGGTCTACAGTATCTCTAGCCACTAGTTTCTCTGTAGTTCTTGATAGTCTAGCTATTACAATAATAAGCACAGAAAACAAGCTGAAAACCTCCGTGGGTAGAAGGGGAAGAAAAAAAAACACACAGAAACAGGGTGCTCAGGAAGGAAGTAGGGGAAATGGTATTAAGATGAAGAGCTTACAGTTAACTAATGTCATGAAAAAAAAAAGTGCATAAATTGTTGAAAGGGAAACTAATTTGTTTTGTAAATTTTCACATAAACTACAATAGGAAAAGGAAAAAAAGGGCAAATTATGATACTTAATAGTTTCCACTTCTCATCTTCTCTTATTAAACTTATAATACACAAAATTTTTATCTTTTAAGTTTCTTTAAGACATATAGAAATCTATAACATCACAATAGCTTTTAAAATGTTAAAATAGTAAGAACTCTCTAGGCAAACAATTCTGAGACTAAAGAAATAATTTCTGGAAGTTGATGAAGACGTTCCTGGGTCATTATGTTAAAATCAGCGGCTTCATATTATGACCTGGCTGATTAGGAAATGAGACTCAGAAAGCCTACCTGGCTGTTTCTTTCCATTCATATTCTTCTCCGTCTCGGTAACACAGCTCATCCATTTCCGTGAAGAGATCGTGGGGAATATGTTGCTCATCATCATCTTCAGTACCAAGGATAAACTGAACTCTCTGGGAGGGTGTGTCTTGAGAAAATGAAAATTCAAATGTTCATTCAAAGACTTTCTCAATTTATACAAGGTAAAAATTCAGACTTCTGAAAGAAAAACACTTATAATAAATATAGTCCACTGAGAGTCTTATCTTTTCATTATTATGCAAAGACTAAAGCCCTGGGAGCAGCAATAACCAAGTGTTAAATCCAGCGTATCTGGCCAAAGAACAAGGATTCAAAAGGGAAACAGGGCTTCCAAGATGGCAGACAGGCTGCACGGGCCCTCTCGCACATCAAGATTGCAGGAGACCTAATGAAACAGATGCAGACGCTAAGCGGAATTCTAGGGGAAGAGACAGAGATGTGTACTAAATGCTGTGGCCCCCGCTGGGTAAGCATGGACTGCTAAGCACTAAGCCTGCAGATCAAACCCAGCAGGTGCTCCATGAGAGCCGAGGAAACCATCTGCTCCCGTGAAGACTGACGGCCTTGAACCCCTACGCAGGGTTGCTATGAGTCAGAATCAACTTGAAGGCAGTGGGTTTCGCTTGATTAGAAGCAGCAGCTGAACAGAGCAGGGAGAGAGAAGACAGAAGGGTGGCTGCTCAGCTAGCCGGATACGGTGTGGCCATCACGAACTTTTGTAAGCAGCATTCCGTGCACCTATGGCCTAGGACGCTGGTTCCTGGCAACGAGGTGGGATTCTCTCTTGTTCTCCTTAACCTCCTGGTGGTCAGAATTCCACTCTTACCCATCCAGTAGCCAATGGCACACACTCTTCAAGCAGTCCCTGCTGCCTGAGTGTGAGCCTCGCCCTCGGGCTCCACCCTCCTGTCTGGAGGTGCATAAACTCCCACTCATCAGACCAGCAGAACACAAGATGTAGTGCTGGGTCCCCAGCCACCCGTGGACAGCTGGGAACTCATTCCATAACCCCCTGCCCTGCCCCACCTGCCCACTGTGACTGATAAGAGATCCTTCCAGGTACAAGCACTCTGACCCCAAGCACCGTGTGAGCCAGTACAGACAGCTCCTGGATCTGGTGCTCTGACCATAAGCAATACAGAAAGCCGCAAGAAGGAACTCATCGAGGTCTGGTGACCAGCGCCACCCCCAACCCACTGTGGGTGACTCAGCGGGCAGAGGGGGCCCCGTCCCCAGTTCTGTCCTTTCTTTCAACTTTTCTTTTGCTTTTCTTTCTTTGCTTTTGGTTCTTTGTCTTTCTTCCCCCCCCCCCCCTCCCCCGACCTTTTCTTAAATCCCTTCCCTTTTTGTTCATTGTCCTTAGTTTTCTTCTCTGGTATTTTCTTTTCCTTCCCCATCTCCCTAGTTTTCCTAATTCCCCTTTCTTCTTTGCCTTAGATTGTTTCTTTCCTTTCCTTTTCTGTTTACTCATATTTTTTTTGCTGTTGCTTGCCTGATTTCAAAATTGTGTGTGTGTGTGTGTGTATTTCCTTTGTGACGTTCTTTTTCATGTCCCACTTGATAGAAGGCAGCCATTGTGCCCAGATAGCCAAGCCACATCCACAACTCCTAGAGCCATACTGGCTGGGCAAGGGTCACAACCCAACTCCTGTGCCACCTGATCATTGTTAACATCGTTGAAACACCAGCCAAACTAGCCCTCAACTGCACTACATAAAAAGCAAGCATAAAAAGATAAATGTGCCAACACTCATCTTTTACTAAACCCACCCGGAGGCAGGTGGTGAGAGGCTCAGATCTCCCCATTATAAAATCATCAATTAAATAAAAACACAACATCAAAATGTTTCAGAAGCAACAATTCCCACTCACATTAAGAAAGACCTTTCTCAGAAAGAAAAGGCACTGGAACCACATGATAAGGAATTTAAAAAAAACGGTATTTAGACACCCTCAACAAATTGGCTAAAAGATCAACAAAGCCACACGTAAAATCAAGGGAAATGCAAGAACGGTACAAACAAAACAAAACAAAAAACCTTGAGAAGACTTAAGGTGAACACTGAATGGCCAAAATATGCTAAAAATTAGAAACAAAAACAACCAATAGGAATCCAGAACAGAAATATTAAAATTTCAGAAATAGATAATGTATTTAAAGACACAGGAATAAAACCAAATCAGTAAGGCCAAATTAGGGAGCCTGAATTTAAAAAAATTTAAGAAAGCCTAAGAATTAAGTGGGAATTCATCAACAGGAATAACATACATGTGACTGGAATTCCAGAAAAGGAAGAAGCCAAAAATGTACAGATAAAACGGTTGAAAAGTTCCCTAACATTGTGAGAAACAGAAAGGTTTCTCCCCAGGTTGTCACACTGTTTGCAGCACATTGTGAGTCCAGCTGCTTAGAAGTATCTCCCTGAAGGCATCAGTCATCCAGAGCAATCAGACTACTGTCCGGTCCACCATAGGTAGGGCTCACACCCTACTGATAAGGATAGTGATTGTTTCCCTAGAGAGCCCAGAGAATAAGTCTAGCCAGTCAAGGAAAGATCAAGGTTAGGCTACCATCTTGAATCTAGGATCCGCCCACTTTGTTACTTGTGTACCCAAGCCCTCCTCTTCCTAATGCGTGTACACCCCTAGATCGTCCCCCTCCCATCGCTGTATTGCCTATGGTACAACCCCTTTCTGTAATGTAAGTGGTTACCTGTAATCTGGGGGCTTGCATGCTCCCAAAGATATATAAGCCTTGGTTAGAAATAAATTGCTCTCCCTCCTTCTCTCTCCTCCTCCCGCTCTCTGCGTGGACCTGTCTGCTGAGATCATGGCTGTCCAGGAAATGTATCTGACTCCTTTCTTCTACCTTCTCTTCTATCTGTCCTATCTTCTCTGACTTTACTATGATCTTTATATATTACCACCATACAATTGCGCCTACAGACCCATGATACTGTCAGGGCCTGGTTTACTCTGACATCGCATCATAAAATATATGCATTAAAGAAGCTTCAACAAGAAATCACTAAGATTTATCATAATCAAAAGACAAGGGAAAAAGGGCAAGGTAAGAACTCTGAGTGGCAATGAAAAACAAAAAGTTACCTACAAAGAGGAATCCCTAAGACTTAGCTCTGACTTCTTAGCGGTAACCGTGCATGCAAAAATGCAATGAGATGACATACATAAAATTCTAAGAGATGACAATTAGAAAGTAAACAGGCAAAGTGTAGTTACAGATCTCACAAAAGGGGAATAAGTCAACTATATTTCAAGTTAGAACAGACTGTTTTAAATGTGGAAAGAAATGAAAAAAATTAAAGGCCAAGCTCAAAGAAAATTAATAAATCTCATTTAAATAAGAGAGGAAAATCACTGAAATTTATGTGAAATAAACCAGCAGTACCACAAAAGATACACATTAAGAAAACAGGACTTATTGATAGGCTGTCTCCAGATACACACCTTTTACACAAAGATAAAAAGACCAAAAAATTTGGGGGAGGGGGAGGTGGGAGGGTACGTGGCAGACATCAAGTTAACAGCAATCAAAAAGGAGCAAGAGTAATAATATTAATTTCTGAAAAAATAATGTTAAGGCAAAATCCAGCATAAGAGACCAAGAAGAGTATTATAATACATTAAGTTAATAGTCAATTGAACAAAAGGACATCACTATAACAAATAACTATGCACCTAAAGAAAGAACTTCGAAAAATAAAAGGAAAAGGAAAACAAAAACCACCTCAATCCATTCTAAGATTTCAGATGTCTGTTCACTGCACATGTACATAATGTCACATATGATAAAGGGAGCCAACAAACCCAGGGACAAGGGGAAAATGAGAAATCTAAAATCGATGGCGAGGAAGGCATAGAATGCCTGGTGGGGTTTGATCAAGTGCAATGTAGCCAACAGAAAGTACTGAGAGACGAATGAAGGTCAAACATGATAGTGGGACAGGAGGAAAGTCAAAAGAAATAGAGGAAAGAACTAGGAAGCAAAAGACATTTACAGAGGTATAAATATAGGCATGCACATATGTAAATATACTAATATATAACGATAGAGATATAGGTCTATGGACATTATTTAATTGTTAAGTATTAAGGTAGCAGACGGGCATTGGGCCTCTACTCAAGTACTCCATCGAAGCAAGAACACTTTGTTCTAATAACCTGTTCTGTGTTGCTCACCTGACAGGATCACTGAAGTCAAAATGGGTGCATAAGCTCATGGTGCCCAGCTATTAGAGGATATAGTGTCTGGGGTCTTAAAAGCTTGAAGTTAAATACACAGCCATCAGCAGAGAAGCAACAAAGCCCACTTGGAGAAGCACAGCAGCCTGTGTGATCTTGTTGGGATCAGATATCAGGCATCAGAAGACCCAAAGCAAACAAATATATTGATGCAAATGAGGGGGGTTGGGGTGGATACCAAAAGACTATCTGTAGACAATTAGTTAAACCCTCACAGAAGGGTCACAAGGAAGGAATGAGTCAGCCAGGGTGCAGCATAGCACATAACATACCTCCAGTTCTTTAATGCTTCCTTCCCCCATTATGATGCTAGCTCAATCTTACAAATCAGGCTTGACGGAAGCATGTACACTGGTACAGATAAGAGTTCTTGACACACAGAATCCAGGACAGATAAACCCCTCAGTAACAGTAATGATGGTAGGGGGAAGGCAGAGGGAGAAGGGGGAGAAATGGGGAACCAACTACAATGATTGACATATAACCCCCCAGACCCAAGGGGGGATGAATAACAGAAACATGTGTTAAGGGAGACAGCGGATGGTATAATTTGTCATTTATCAGGGGTTCACAAAGGTGGGAGGGTGGGGGAGGGACGGAAAAAAGCTGGTAGCAAGGGCTCAAGCAGAAAAAAAATGTTTAGAAAACAATGATGGCAACATATGTACAAATGTGCTTGATACAATTGATGAATGGATCATTATAAGAGAGCCGTAAAAGCCCCCCAATAAAATGATATATTAATTTAAAAGGGTATCAAATCCTCTTAAATTGGTGATTAAATATTAAGATGCAGCTTTTACAATACTGCAGTAGAATACAACAGCAAAACACTCTTTTTCACTTGTTCTAAGTAGATCTTAATTATTTTTCTTCTTAAAAAATAGATCTGATTTCAATTAGTAATAGCAATGTATACAATGTGGCTCAGTTATTGCAGACATGCAATTCAAAAAGGAAAGGACATTTTCAGTAAAGAACAAAACGCTGTCCAGAAAAACCTTAAACTGCCAGCTTAGAGCTTTTTGGTTCTCCCTTACCGTAAGAAGGAGACTCCCGTCCATCTTCCTTATCTGACTCCTTATCTTTTCTTCTACGGTGGTGATGTTTATGTCCTCGATGCCTATGACGGCGACGACTCTCTTTACTAAAAGGAACATGAACACCAATATATACAGCTCGATGACCTATTAAAAGGTTCAGATACATATTACTGACTTTCCAAAATAGGGAAAACACTGATGCACAAAAAGTATACCAAAATTCACATTGATAGTAATCACGTATGAGGGCACATAATTAACAAGACTAGCCTCCTTTTACTTATCTTGTTCTACACAGTACTTCATAGAATGTCATGTCAAGGGTTAGCACAATTGACTGACTACATATAAAGGTTACTTATGCAAGTAATTGTTTGTCAATCCAAAAATATTTTGAAACAAACAAACAAAAAAAAGAGCTTGGTCATCATGAAATCACATCATACAACAGATAAAGATGTTCCATTTACCTTTATGGCCAGCCTGGGTTACTTAGTATATGTTCTTAAAAGATTTGCTTCATTCACAATTAAGTATTTTAAAATCAATATTGATAAAAAGTATGCCTATCAATACCCCTTTACTAATTCAGGAGGGTTGAAAACCTCAAACAGTAAAGTCCAAACTACTCAGGGCTACATTAAATGAAAATGATTTAAATACTCCAATGACTAAATTATCAGATTAAATAGCAAATCAAATAAGACTCAATGGTAATGAGTTTGGGTTTTTTCTTCTTCTTGTTATTACTTTTAGACAAGAAAAAGCAACTTGTGATTTTGCAATAGCCTGACGCCATATTCTGAAAGTGTTATGAAAGGCAGTCTTCTTTTGCCCATTAAGTGGAACATATCAGGAAACTAGATGGCTAGCAGTACTATGTCAAATCCCAAGAGACATGAGCTTGATTTCCTAATGTTCACTTGCGTTTCCTATCTTAGCTGTGTTGAGTGAAGGCAGATGTGAGCTAGAAGCAAGTCCAACTTTGCAACCATGCAAATCACACCTGGCATGAGCTGCTTTAAGCCCTTAGGAAACAAAATATAATGTGGCATATTAAAATAAGATCAGTTAGTGGTATTCTTGTCCTAACAAATTTCAGATTAAGATGATCAGAAAATATTTTGCAAAACTTTCATCCTTAGATGCAATTTGAAAATTCTCTGAAACCTAGAAATAGTATTATAATTTAAAAAAATACTTTGAATCCTGTCATATATATAACTGGAATTAATTTTAAAATATAACAGTCTATGAAATGCCATTTCCATCAATCCCGTGGTTTGCAGCATATGAAAGGAACCCTGGTGGCACTGTGGGTGAGGCATTAGGCTGATCAGTGAAAGGTCAGTGGGTCAAACCCACCAGCCACTCCTTGGGAGAAGGATGAGGCTGTCTGTTTCCATAATGACTTCTGTCTAGGAAACCCTACACAGGGTCACTAAATATCAGAATCAACTCAATGGTAGTGGGCTGTACAACACATGAGCAATAGGTGGAAAATTTGGGAATTAAATTAAGTCTGATTTAGTTTTTTTTAGACTATCTTCTTTGGTTAATTTTAAAATCCTTTAAGGAAATTTATAAAAGGTTTCTTAAACTTGTAAGAGAGTACAAGTCTAGCCACATGAGTGAGAGCAAATTGAGGGAGAAAAAAAAAACAGGCTAAACCTGTTTAAAGTGTATCAATTAGGTCTCACCTCTAGAATCTCTCAAATGACAGTGGGTCAATAATACTCAGAAAGCTACTAAGAGCTCAAGTAGAAAGATAATGTTTTGAAAATGATGATGGCAACATATATACGTTTGCTTGATAGAACTGTAAAAGCCCCCAATAAAAATATTTTTAAAAAGAAAAATATTCTGCTGCTCCAAATATAAAATTGTATAGACCCAAAGTAATAAATACCTCCAAATATTCTCACATATTAATATTCAATCATCCCCTTGCCCTTAAAAAAAATCAACATTCTATTAAAAAGGAAGAGCCTTTCTCTATTTTATCTATTTTATTACCAGCATAGACTTGTGGTTTTCCCGCTTTATTCATTACTGCCCTTATTTATTTTAATGTTCACATTGTTTCCACAGAGCGCCAGTAGCAGCCCTTCCAAGCAGGGTCTTCCCTGCCATGTGTCCCCCTCGCCCTTTTTGTGAGCACTTCTTCCAGTCTCATCACGTACATTGCCTTTCCAAGCCTTGGGATAGCCATTTCTTCAAGGAGTCCTGGGTTCACTTTGGGGCCCTGGTAGTTCAGTGGGTTAAGTGTTGGACTGCTAACCTCAAGGTCAGTCCGCAGTTCAAACATACCTGCCACTCTATGACAGACAGCTGAGGCTGTGTACTCCCGTGAAGATTACCGTCTCGGAAGTCCAAAGGAACAATTCCATTCTTTCCTATAGCGTCTCTAGTCAGAAATGGCATTTACAAACAGAAGATCTTAGTTCTAGGTGTAATCATAGCTATTGGGTTTGCCACTGCTTATAGGAAATTTGAGTAGAACAGATAGAAAATATATACATGTATCAAAGAAATGGTGGATCCATCTTGATTACCCAATATCAAGTAAATTTTTCCATGATAATTTTTTAACTTGCAAGATAGTCAAATAAAAGGTACAAGGAACTGTCATGTGTTTTACTGAGACCCATTATTTTTATTTTGTCCCATTTCATATAGTCTGTCATTAATTTTTTCAATCATTTAAACATAGATTGCAGGCATTGTGCCCCAAAGTGTGTGTGTGATTACAATATATATTGAATTTATATCTCACATATAAATGTTGTCAACTGTGGCAATAATGTTCTAAATGTAGAGTTAATTTTCGTTCTCAGTCAAGAAGCTAATGAGGATCCTGTACTTCATTTAGGTGTAATGTCCCTTTTGAATGTTAATATAGGAGAGTTACTTGACTTTTCTTTGTCTTTTTTGACAAGCTAAATGGCTAATCAGTGGGCCAAATATACCAATGTCATTAAATTACCACCTTTAAAACAAAAGAAGACTAGACTTCAAGAATATAATTTAAACTAAATTATCTGGTTACACATTTTTAAGTATAAGAACTCAATAATGGTTTGCAGAAATTAATGAACTATCAGCTACCTAAAGAAATTTTACCAGTGAATCCTAAGTTTAAAAAACCAATTAGGCATGGTTTCAATATGAGATGCTGAAAATATTCTACAGCTAGAGTGGTAATTATTCCTAAATTTACTGGTTACCATATAGAAAGCACCGAACCATACACTTAAACATGGTAAATTTTATGTTGTGAGTTCTAAAACAAATCAATTATAACGAATTTCAGTAATGATGCTATTTTAGTGAGAGTATTTCCTTCTGAACATCAAGAAATGTGGAAATGAAAGAGTTCATCTATCACCACTGTGCACGGGGAATTATAAAGCTGTTACTCCAAGTAGTACTAATGGGTCCTGCACACAGTCCCAGTGACCCAGATGAAAAGAATTCTATAGTGATCCAGATGAAAAGAATTCTATAAACAAACAAAAACTCACTGCCATCGAGTCAATTCCAGCACACAGCAACCTTATGTGGGGTTTCAGAGGCTATGAATCTTTATGCGAGCACACAGGCGCATCTCTCTGCCATGGAGTAGCTGGCAGCTTTGAACCACTGACTTTGCGGTTCGCAGTCCACCCTCATCCGAGAGCCGCCAGGGCACTTTTAAGAAAGATGAAGTAAAAATATACAGAATCCAAAAACTAAAGCGACTGGACTCTATTGGTTTGGGGTTTGTTTGTTTGTTTGTTTTTCTGCCTTTATTATCACTCGTATTGTCCTCTATTATTTGTCCTCCTCGTATCCTTACCTTTACTTCTTCCAATCACACAACTAACTACTCATTCAGGTTCTCTGGAAGACATTTGATGTCTCCTTTACATATAATAATTAAATACCTATTCGGATAAAGAATGCAGAGCAAGGGCTCTGGGGTAATCAAAAGAACTAAAAAGTTAGCAAACGAAAAATAACTCTGCTTGGTATCTAGCTCCGCATGTTCAAGATCACACGTGAGAGTGCTGACATTAAATAATAAGTGATTAAAAAATATCACTACACATTTGACAGTAAAGTGGTGGCTATAAAATTTAATGTCCTTAATGCCTAGAAATTGAAGTTTAATAAAAAGCATTTGTTTTTTAAATCTCAAAATGTAAATGAGGAAGATCCTTGTTTGTATCTCTTTCCATCTCCTCTTTTTAAAACAACAGATTAACATTTCTTTATGGTAATATCGCTCTCACAGAAGATCTTTAAAAATGTAGTTCCCAAAAGAGACCCCAAAAGGAGGGGAAAAGATATCTAAGAACACATTGTTCATGAACACAAGTCTTAAATTAACCAAGTGTTCAGGGTTAACATGACTAATAAGGTATGTTGATAACAGTCATGGATAAGATGCAACAAGAAGGGTGGTAATCCCTCTGAAACTCTACCATTAAAATACTGAAGTCTAGGTATATGCACGAAACAGCATCACTCAACCTAAAGGCACATTCTACAGAATACCTAATCATGACTCTGAAAAGGCATCCAGCTCATAAAAAAACAAGAGCACCCGAGAAACTGTCAGAGACTAGAGGACACGATGGAGGCATGACCATTACATGGTCCACGGTCTACAGTGGGTCGCAACCCCTTTGGGGGTCAAACAACCCTTTCACAGGGGTCGCCCTATTCAAAACAGTAGCAAAATGACAGTTAAGAAGTAGCAACAAAAATAATTTTATTGTTGGGGGAGTCACCATAACGTGAGGAAGAGTCGTGGCATTGGGAAGGTTGAGAACCACTGGTCTAGAGTTTTGACTCAATTGTGGAACAATAGGGAAGAACGTCAGTGGGAAAACTGGTGGAATCTGAACAGAATCTGCGGTTTAGTTCAGAGTATGGTACTCGTGTTCATTTCTTCATTCTGATCACTGTAGGTGGTTGTGTGAGATGTTAACACAGGAAGATGTTGGGGAGGGAATGGTACACAATGCAGCAACCCATTTGCCACACGATTCTACACTGAGGTTACTGTTGTGCTTTAAAAGGCTGACGTAACAGACCTATAGAGTAAATATTTAGGAGACAACCGATATCAAGTGTGACTTATTAGTCTCGCACTCTAATGTGTTCATAACACAAGTTACCCTGTGCCTACTAGAAATAAAAAAATAGAAGAATTAACTGATTTTGTTGTTGTGTCTCTCAATTTTCCAAGTTTTAGTGTCACTGCCGATGTTTAAAAAGCACACTGAAATCTGGTGTGCCAATAGTCTTCACAAAGAGTGAATATTCACGAAGCCCATTTATGGGAGTCCCCAGAGGTACTGGTAATGTTTATTTCTAGATATGGGTGAGGCTACCTAAGCACCTGTGGTCTTATTCCTTAAATTATACTCAAAAACTATCGAGCATGCATGATTCTAAATATATGCTCTACCTCACAACCAGCACCACCGAAAAATGTTCCAACAAATAGTATGCAGAGCTTAAGAGACAACATCCAACCTACGTCAGGCGTTTATCCTGCTAAGTCCAATGGGCTATTGTAAACACACTTACTTTCTAGTTCTTCTTTTTCAAACTTGGTGTTCACCGTTGAGCTGGTTTTGCCAAGATCCACAACAGCTTCCTCATCAGGACCCTAAAAACAAATTGTTCTCATTCACACGGGAAAGCACATGTACTCAGATCCCAGTATGACTATTCTTGGGGAGTGCAAAAAAATCATAGTAATAGCAGACTGCCACCTTCTCAGCCAACTGAATGTTTATTATAGATAAGTCTATTCATCTAAAAAGGTGTATGGGGTGCTACTACTGCTTTTTTTTTTTAAACCCATGTAAGACTATTTAAAATGTTATACTGTTCCTCTTTCCACCCACACAATTCTTACCAAAATGGCCGCAGGTAAAAGAGAAACCACAAACCCTAGCTCAACAACTATAGAAGGCTGAACAAATAGAAATGTATTTGCTAAGAAAGCAATCTTTTGCCGTTTGTGTGGAAATACGGGTTTTCCTTGGATGTCTATATTCAATCCTGGAATATAATGAAATTAAACCATTTACTTATATTTGTCAAGCTGTTTAGAAATTTCTAAATGCGCACACACACCAAAGGATTGCTAAATTACTGACGCATATATTTACTTCAGCTCAATGGAAAGATCTTTCAAATCAAGAGATTAAAGAAAATCAGTCGTGAGAGGGGCCCTTAGCTCATTATGCTGACGGAAGTGAGTCAAATACAAAAGGACAAATATGAGACCCCGTTATTTAAAAGAAAAAAAAGAAAAGAAAAGGTTTTCATTCTAAAAGAAGCTGACTTTGGCAGTTACCGGGGATGGAAGCAAATTTTAAGACCTATGTATGACTGAAAAAAATAAGTGAAAGTGGCTGTTAAGTTCTGGGGAATTTTACTGTTTTTAAGATGATTTTATTTTTCTGGGAAAATTTGGGGGGGGGGTGTAGAAAAATTGCGCAGGGAGAACAGAGTTCCTGTATACCCTCCTCCCCATCGAAGACTATCTCTATTATTAACATCTGGCATTCTGTGGTGCATGTGTTACAATTAAGGAGCCAATCGATCCGATTCATAGAGACCCTATAGGACAACTATAGAGTACAACTGCCCTATGGCCTTCCCAGACTATGAGAACGAAGCAATACTGATATGGTAGCAGCTAAAGCCCAGAGTTTACAGGACTGGTCAATCTTTGTATTGTACAGTCTCGTGAGCTTTGGCAAATGCATAAGATCACTGTACCACAGCATTCAAAATAGTTTTCACTGGGATTAGGACCATAGTTTCCTGAGACATTTTAGTCAAGTGGCATGATTTAGTTCATAAAGTTTATAGTCTACATCCTGGTGGGTGATTAGTATGTGCAGTCTTAAATGCTTTTAAATTGGCCAACTAAGGGACAACTATTGGTCTCTACTTGTCTGAAGGAAAAGGTTATAAGGAAACCAAAATTCAGAGAAGAAAACAGTAAACAGTGTACAACATAGGTTCCTAAACTTATTTAGCCTATTTACTCTCCCCTTTTCAGAGCAAAATATTATTCAGTACCCCAATTTAAAACTTTTGCACTATAGTCCATAATTCAGGATAAAGTGTGGGTATCTACTTTTGCAGTCCCCCTGCCCACCCTGCCCCCATCCCCACCATCATTTCAGGAGCAGTAATGACCATGTTGGGAAACAATGGTACACAAAGCCAAATCAAGTTCTTGTCTACCTTGAGACCAGAGAACTAGATTGTGGTGCAAGCTAACACTACCAACCATTCTGAACTGAGTCAAAATAGATAGACCCTTATTGAATGGGAAAGAAATGTACCAAACCTCCAATTCCGTTAAAAACAAAATCAAAGCAGACTTAACTGGCCTGGTTGAGACCAGCGGGTTCCCTGGTATCCAGGTTAAACCTTGAATCAAAACTAGCCCCTGTTGTTCATCCTTTTTTTTCTTTTCTGTTTTTTAGCTAAATAACAGATTAGCTCACAAGATAACGAATAGCATCGTTAAGTCCTGAGCTCCCTTTAAAAAAATCATCTATATGAGAAAAAGGGCAACAATTACTTTTAAAAACAAAGATAAGTCTGTAAAGGGGCCTAGGTATAGAATTGGATTGATGGAAACAGCCAGAATGGGAGACTGCAGAATGTCCGCACACTGTGAGGAATGTACTAATGCCACCGAATAATCTGTGTAAAACTGCTGAATGGAAACCCAAACAGCTGTTTAAACATGCACCAAAAACACGATGTTTAGAAATCATTTCAACTGCCATAAAAATGCTCTCTGTTCCATCTCCTCCTCCTCCTCCTCCTCCTCCTCCTCCAGCAACCATTGATCTTCTCACAGTTTCTTGACCCAGATGCCACATGGATGGACACACAGCATACAGGTTGTTCAGTCTGGCCTCTTTTCACTTAGCAATATGACTATCATTGCTATTTTGACCATAGTAATATGAAATTACAGAGATGTGAACAACACACACATGATCTGTTTTAAAATAAGTTTCACTGAGATGAAGAGGAAGAAAGCAGTCCCAGTCAGTGATATGGTTAGTAGCATCCCAGTTTAAGGAGCATAAGAGAACTGAGCCTCCAATTTCTACCCCTTACTTCTTAACAACCTTAAGCAGCACGTCACTGAGCTTGTCTGAACTTGTTTCCTTGTATATAAAAAGGGAGAAGGAGTTAAGTAAATGATGTTCTTGCTGGCTCCTTAACTCTAATTGATAGATAAGCAAGCCATGAGTCTTTATCCAGCAGCTCGGCTCGTTGTGACCTAGGTGTAATCCTACAGCACGGGGTCCTCATGTTAAAGCCATGAAAGTAATTTGTAACTAAGGTACAGTCTCACTGATACTTAGTTGACTATGCATTTTAATACATGAAAAAATATATTTAGGTGAGTTGGTGTCTATGCATTTGAATCTGTGAAGAATTTTAAAAACTATTCAATGTAAAATTTCTAATTTGCATGTTAAAATATTCAATGTTACATGCATCATAAAACATATCCTCTTATTTATCTATACCATAATTTATCTGAGATAAGCTCATGACACATGGACAGTTTGGACAAGTTACAAAATACACTTTCACTATGTTAAATATGTAATTTAATGCAAGCTATTTGAAACTTATCTTTTCATATTATATCTTTTCACTAGATAGATAGCTTTGGTATAATAATTGAGTTAGTTAATTGTGCCAGCCTGGCCGATAATCACATGTGGTGCTGGCTGAAAGGCGGAGGGATAAATGGGTGTGAAGCCTCGCCTTTCTAGTTCTCGGGTCTCTTGTTTTGTGATGGTTGCA